GTAGCTTAATGACTTGTGCTTTCTTGACCTCTAACTCAAAAATCATAACTGTCTCTCCTTTTTTTACTCTTTCATTTCCTCCCAGCAGCTATTGTGATCTCTTGCTTGTCGGTCCTGTTTTTCATTTTCTCTCAAATTCCAACAAAATAATTTTCTAATTTTTTTCTAACTTTTTATTGATTCTTTTTAAGTTTCACATCATGGACCCCAGTCCCACTCAGTTCCCCATGCCCTCATATCCTCCCTTTGCCCTTGCAACCTCCGCCCCACATAAAACACACACACACACACACACACAACCACCACCACCAACAACAGCAATAAAAGCATAGAAAACATCTCATCATGGAAGCTTAGTGTATCACAGTGTGTCCCACAGTATATCCCTCCGTCCACACATCTTCGCTTGCAAATGTTCATTGCAATGAGTCATTGGTCTGGTTCGAGATCTCTGGCTTCTGTGACACCATCAATATCGGATCCTCATCAGAAACTGTTACCCTGCTGTTGCCCTGCGTCATGAAGATCCTGAAGTTTTGGATCAGCAGGACTGGCCCAACTGTTCTCAGATAATATAGATTTGGAGGTGGGCCAATTCAGGGCCCTGGATCTGGGCCTGGGTAGTAGCTCAGCTGGTCAACCCACTGGTTCTCCCTTATCTACAACACCAGGGCAAGCTCTCCATCACTGCTCCAGCCAGGCCGCTCAATGCCACCATCAGCAGGAGGAAGGGCCACTTCTCCTGCGCTCATGCCCTTGGGGCCAGCTCACCTACATGCTGACCTCCAGAGCCAACTCCACTGTGCTGCCCAGTAAAGGTGAAGAGCCCACTCTCCCAAATGCTATAGCCAGTGAGGGACAGGGCCAGCTACTGCAGGTAGTGGGGGCAGGGGAAGGGCATCACCTCTGCACCCATGCCATCTTAGAGGAGGCAAGTGGTGGGGCCAGTTCTCCTGCACTCTTGCCCTCTGTGTCCTCACAGGTATTGACCGCCCAGTGAAGGAGGCGCCAGTAATTACTACAACCAGCAGTCACTGGGTTATATGCAACCAGACTATCTTAAAACTAATGTATACATTTTTTTTTTTTTTTTTTTTTTGGTTTTGAGATAGGGGTTCTCTGTGTAGCCTTAGCTGTCATGGACTCGATCTGTAGATGAGACTGGCCTCAAACTCACGGTGAACTGCCTGTCTCTGCCTCCGAGTGCTGGGATTAAAGGCATGTGGCACCATGCTGGCTTCATTTAAAATTTAAAGATATTTAAGAAAATTTAAAAAATTTTACTCATATGAGTGTTTTGCCTCTATGTGTATCCATGCTCAGCTGTATGTCTGGCACCCCAGGGAAACCAGAAAAAGTTACTGGGTCCCTGGAACAGGAGTTACAGATGACTGTGAGCCATCATTTGGGTGCTAAGAATTGAATTTGGATCCTCTATAAGATTAGCTAGTAATCTTAACAGCTGAGCCATCTCCCCATCTCAGGCCCTCATTTAATTTTTATAATAGCTCTCTGAGATAGACCCTTATATCATCCTCATTTTACAGATGAGAGAAAGTGAAGTTCACAGAGAGGTACTGAGTGGGAAAAGTAGAAACTAGTTTGAGTTCCCCAGCCAGGCACCTAACTGTCTTGGGCCACCAAAAAGGCAAGGTTTGTGCAAAGGTAGGTAGGGCTAGGGCATTCTGGTGCTTTGACATTGTTGGAGAACAGAAATATTACAATGGCCTACATGCATGAGCTGAACCTGTTACCAGAGGGTATGTGTGGTCCTGGAGACTCTTTCTGCTATCAAGTAAGCCCTATGGCCTCCAACTTTACCAAATGGCCACAGCCACAGCCTCCAGCTTCAGACGCCCAGCCTGTGGTGCCCAGCAGCAGAATCCTCAATGGTGGCCTTTTACAGAGACAATCCCAGCTGAGTGATGCTTAATGCCTGTTACTGGCTCCTTGGAATTCAATCCCACCCCTCAAACTGAGCCTCAACTCTTCTCAACCAAAATGCTCTTCTCTGGGCTCCTGAAAGAACTGAAAGAACACCTTGTGGTTGGGTGTGACTATAATTCCAGCATCCGGGAGGCTTAGGTAGGAGGATTTTGAGTTTGAGGCCAGCCTGTGTAGTAGGAGCTAGACTCAAACAAAACAAAACACAAGAGCGCCATATAACTGTTCTTGCCCCAGTGTCTTCTACCGTTACTACTAAGGTCTAACAAATGACATCAAACTCAGGAGCCTACAACTATTCATTAAGCCATGGACCAGGAATTCAGAAGTTCCACAGTGAAATGGCTTCTCTCTGTCTCTCTCCTTCACACTCAGGACTGACAGGGAGACTGTATGGTTGAGTGTAAAGTTCAGGTATGGGCAACTGGGTAGTCAGGGGCTGCAACCATCTGGAGGCAACTTTCCATACATGCCAGTGGGGAGCACAGGGCTGGAGGCCAACACTATCTGTCATACATTGTGACCTCTGGAATTCTCAGGCTCTGGTTTGCTCAATGCTCTATGAGAGGGTGTCCCAGTGAACACAGCAGGTAACTAACCACCTGTTCTCTGGCCTTGGCTGTCACGTCCCTTCACTTCATGTTACTGGTGTTACCAGTACAAATCAGTCCCACATATAGACTTGTGAGGACAGAGCATGGACACCAGCTCTGATGTTGGGGCCATCTTTGAGGAAGCAATCTATTATAGCATCTTTATGTAGTGACAAGTTTTGAATTTTGCTTTCTTTAAAAAACACAGAAATATTATAATAATATGCTTCTGTTTTAATCCCAAGTATAGGGATATGGGACTGCTTTGCAGCAGCTGATTATAATTTGCCTAGCACTCTAGCAGAGGTATGGCTTTGCTAGCTGCAGATAATTTCTTTGACTGTGTGACATTGGAATTCTGGGGACTTTTCAGAGGGTATATAAATGCTAGGGCCCCAAGAGGCAGGGCTGGTGGTTGGTGGTTGCTCAGAAAAGTTACTGTTTGGTTACTGGTTGTTGTTCATGGTCACAGCTTATTAAGTAGCTGTGTGTAAAGAAGAGACAACAACAAAAAGTTAGATATCCTGACTGCACAGATTAAACCTGCCCCAAGGAACTTGACATCCCTAATTAAGCGTAATGATAATGCCCCCACCCCTTTTGACTCCTGGCTTTATTTAGGGATCTCTTTCCTTTCCTCTTTATCCTTTTTTCTCTCTTATCTGGTGTTAGGAAGTTGAAAGGGTGGAAGAAAAAAAAGGGGTGGAGAAGGGTGAAGCACCCATAAAGGAGCAAATGCACGCTGGTTCTATCTTTACTCACCCCTCCCAGCCCTAGCTGTCCCTTCTCTGCCTGAATTGCCTACAGCGTCTGAGCCACTCTATGGAGTTGGCTTAGAGACTTCCTCAGGCAGCTGGCCTGGCTGCCACATCTCCTGAGAGACGCACCCTCAGCACTGAGCACTTTTCAGACCCAGTGGTCTGTCTCACAGCCTGAGTTCCTGCTGTTAGAGGACAGGGGCTTTGGCTAACAGCAACATTTTCACAAAGACATCCTGAAGTGAGGAGAGAAGGGAGAGGGGGCAGACTTCTCATGCTGTAGAATATGGTGACCTTCTCCTGCCAAAGGTACAGCTACAGGAATGGTGTTCAGCCACAGGGCCCTGTCTAGATCCTAGGCAGAAAGCAGAGTGGGTGGCATCTTCACCCCCTGGTAGAAAAGGACTTCCTGTCTAGTCTAGCCATCTGGCTAACAGTGTTCCATAAGGGTTGTAGTTTCTTCTAGAAAAGGAAGGGAGGGAGAGGGTAGGTAGGCAGAGGAGAAGCTAAGGCAGGAAAAACCAAAACAAAACAAACAACAACAACAACAACAACAACAACATTTGTTCCCTGAACAAAAGGGTGGCAGTCTAGGGGAGGGAAGCACAGTGGGTCTGCTTTTTTAGGGACCAGAAATATACCTCATGGTACCTTGGTGTGAGAGAGGTGTACTGACTTTCCCTCCTAGTTTGCACCTAAATGTTACTACCGCCACAAAAGCTTTTCAAAGTAGAGCCACCACGAGCATCAAGCAGTAGATAGGCCTGCGCATGGGACTTAAGGCTCCGCCTCTACACCCCTGCAGGATGCCGGTGGTGACTTCCCGGCCTTCCTCTGACCAGCTCAACAGGTCTGATGATGCATCTAAAGGATGTTAGCTTGGGCATCACTGTCACCTTTCCCTTTTCTACTCGGAACCACCAGTTTCACAACGGACAACTGCCACGGACTCCACCATTTGTTCACTGAACAGCCCTTCAAGTCACAGCTGAGAACATTGAGGCTGGCAGGGTCACACAGCAGAGGCTTGGAACTTGAGTCCAGCCCACGTGCCCACCCAGCCTACATCATCCTTGACCCAGTTATAGGACCTTCCCAGGTGACCTTGGAGAAGCGTCCCTGAAGTCTTGCTGACATGTGGCTCACATATGCTGTGGAGAAGGAAGCCCAAGTCACCACTCTGGTAGGAGTTAACAGCTTTCCTCCAGTGGGGTCCCCAACCCAGCCACTGTCCTAATCCATTGCCTCAGGCTAGCCTCCTGCAGGGATGAAGTGCTTAGGAGAGGTGTGGCCTCTGGAGAAGGGTGTGATGGGTTTAGTAGGGCATCCCACAGGAAAAGAGTAAGCAGGGCTTCCTGGAGTCCCAAGCAGCTGCTCTCACAGCTGCAGCTTCCCCAAACCCATTACCCGAGTCCAGTGGAAGCACTCTGCCTGCACCGGGCACCCCAGGAGCATCAGGCTTCAGGGAGTGGAGCAGGCGGGTGAGCCAGGAGTGAGCTGGCCAGGCTGTCTGTGCCAAAGAAGGAGGGGGCCGTCCAGGCTGCCAAAGCGGGCGGGAGGGGCTGGGCCAGCTGGGGCTGGAGCTAGTGTGACATCACCAGGCGGCCCGCCCCTGTCTGGAGCTGAGGGGAGGCCCGGAGCCTTTCTGGGGCCTGGGATCCTCTTGCACTGGTGGGCGGAGAGAAGTGCCTGCAGCCAACCAGGGTCAGGCTGTGCTCACAGTTTCCTCTGGCGGCATGTAAAGACTCCACAAAGGACCTGGGAGTTCAACTGAGGCTGCTGCAGTGGGCCTGGGGATGGACCCCAAGCCTTGAGTGGTGCTGGCGGACCCAGGACCTACAAGGGGCATGCACTAAGGCAGCTGCAGTCCACACTGTGAGGGAGAGCAGGTTGGGAGCAGCCCCAACGACATCCCAGCCAGCCCCATCCCCAGAAGCCGCTGAGAGCATAGACTGCTGCCAGCAGAGGCCAGTAAGGCAGGGCTGCTCGGCCGCCAGTCCAGCCTGAGCCTCGGGACCCCTCCTGGAGGCGATGGCCAGGTTGCCCTGCTGACGGCACCGGGAAGCATGTGAGGCGCTGCTCCAGAGCTAAGCCGGAGAGAAGAGGTAAGGGGTCAGTTCTCAGCTGCAGCACTGAGGGGAAGCCGGTCTTGAGATAGGCAGCCCTGACTCCTCCAGCTGGGTTATGCAGCTGGACCCCACAGAGGGTCAGCTCTTGCTTTTGCTTGGAGCCAAACCAAGCATTTGACCAGGCAGAGGACTGAATACCTGGGCAGGGTGGTATTAAGGCACAAGCGCATGGGGTGGCAGTTGAGGACTTCATCAGTGAACCCCACTCACGTCTTCCAGACAGAACACTTCTGGGGTGAGCTGCAGTGGCTATGGGGCACCAGGTGGTAGCTGGGTACATACATGTGCATAAGTATGGACTTGAGAGCCGGCCGAGAGCTGCAGGGCAGCAGAGGATTGGTTAAGTTGTGTTTAAGCTCGGGACTTGTACACACCCAGGCTAGAGAATATGTTAAGGCAGAAGCAGACGTGAATGCAGACCTGAGGCAGTGGGAGCCCCTCCTCAGAAAGTGCCCCAGGGCCAGGCAGCGCCTGCCCACAGGCTTCCAGGGAGCCAGGAGCAGAGGCGTCCTGTGCGGGACAGAACATGTCACCCACAAGTTTCTGTCAGTAGGACTGGGGCAAAGTGCTGCCCTAACTTTCCCTCTGCGCCCAAGGACACAGTAGATGGCCCCCAGGTCTCCAACCAGCAGGATGTGGCTGAGAAACTGAAGGAGGGGCTTTCTTAGCAGCTAGTGAGGGGTGCTGCCGGGGCCACATAAGGTGTCCCTTGAAAGCACTCCGCAGGAGATAACATTTCCAAACAGAAATTCTCCGCTGATCCCTCCCTCTCCCTGTGACATCTGTGTCACGGGTCAGCTATTGCCTCTGCTGTGGGATTAGGAGAGCTCCCAGAAGTCAGTGTGGTTACTCAGAAAAAGATTCCTTTTCACAGGGGCCCAGAGGAAGATTGAGAACATCAGTTCCAAAGCTAAATCAATGTTCTCTGCCTGGGTTCTTCCAAGTACAGGCCTAGTACAGCAGAGATTATGAGTTGGCTCCATGTCTGAGCTCTGCTCAGGGGCAGGTTATAGCTTTTCTAAGCCTCAGTTTCCTGATCTGTGAAATGGAGTGCTGAGTGCTCAGCTCAGTAATAGCTGAGCAGACAGCTGCTGCTACCCCACAACACACAGCTAACCACCTTCATCTCACAGATGACGAAGCCTGGCATGTGACGTCGGGGTCACTCTGAGTCACACATCACCACTCTCCAGGGGCAGCACAGGAGACCTTAGTCCTGAGCCCAGTGTCTGTGTATAGGGCCTCTAAACACTCTAGTTTTCAGTTACAGAGAATCCAACCATCAGAACTGCCCAGGGGAGAACAAGTACCCTGATTCTTTCCCTGTTCTGGATACGTTCTGCTAAGGCAATGGCTCTCAACCTGTGGGTTGCATCCCCATATCAGTTATCCTGCATATCAGATATTGACATTATGATTCACGACTGGGGTCACTACAACACAAGGAACTATATTAAAGGGTGTGGGCTTTGCATATAGGACTGGGGCTGGGGGCCACCTGTAGCATTTCTCCATCCTAGAAGTACACTTTAAGGAAACATACAAATGAACCAAAACTTCCAGCACCAACCTCACAGGCAGAATGCTATCCTGCACCACCCTTGGGTGCTAATGATCTGCCTACTGGCATTCCTGTCAGAACCATAGCAATAGAAAAACGCAGCTTCCTTAGTCTTGCAAGAGAACCACTGGCCTCATCGCTCTTGAAGTTACAGAAAATAGCCTGCCCACAGTGGACTCGTGCCACACAACACCAGTGTATCTGAGCCCAGGGACAGAGGGCTTCTGGTTTCTTGGAGGCATTTAGAAAGTGGATGTGAAGTACACGCTTGCAGCCAAGGCTTCTGGTGCGGGTGATGTTGAAGGTTTCCTGCTGTAGTCTGGACTTGATGGTGTTCTGGCCTCTGCACACAGCTCCGGCTAAACAAAGGTTCCAACTGACTTTGTGAAGCTGGCTGACACAGATTACCTAGGCAAGGACAAACACAGTGGGCAGCAGGTATGATTCTGGAGACTCGCCCAATATGGCTGTGTATTCACAGGCAAGAACCCCACAAAAGTTTACAAAGTTGCCCACTGGGCTTGATGGGACTTTACTTCATTCCATCCTTACCCTCAACTCTAGGAAATGGGTTCCAGCTTTAGCAACCCCTTTTCAGATAACAGAATAAAAGCTTAGGAAGGATAACTTGCCCAAGGTGACAGCCTAGGACTATGGTTCCAAAGCCCACGCCTTCTTCCCTCCTACTCCACAAAGTACCCTAACCTCTCCCATCCTGATGCCACCAAGTCCTTAGCAGTTAAGTCTGCTTTTGCTGCCCTTAATCCCCCCGAGAACAGGGTACCTGGTTGTTGTGCTACCTTCTTTGTGGAGCCCACATCCACAGCATAGAAAGTGTGGTTGCATGAACACGTTGTTCAAGGAACCTGACTCCACCCTCCACACCTTGCATGTGGGGGACAGTGCCTTGGGTAAACAAACATTCATCCACCTGAAAAGACTGATATTCTGTAGTCAGTCTCTCCCCATTGCTTGGGGGAACCCATAGGGGCTGCTATGTGGGAGGTCACCATCAACCCTGGGCCACACCTAATAATTCCTGAGGCAGTATCTGGCAGCTGGAAACAAACAAAACAGAGAGAAGGTCTCCCAGAAGGGCAGGTGTATTCAGCCTCTGGCCTACTTCCTCCAGAATGTTCTCAACTTGGAGTGCATACGGTACAACTATTGTGTAGAACCTAAGCCCACCAGGGTGAGGCAGGCAGGTGGTAAATAATCCCACAAACACCCAGCAGATAGCATGACTCATTAGAGGTGGGCCTGAGAACTGAGAGGGTCCCCAAAATGAGCAGCACTGTCCCAAGAGTACAGAAGTGGAAACTGAGGCTCAGGAATATAGTACCTCTTCTATGGTCTTTCCATCAGTAGGCCGAAAAGGAAGGAACCCAGCTCTAACCTGTGTCCACGGTCATTTGGCACAACCGTGTAATAGAATCTCCATAAAGAACTGATGTATAGAGAAGTGGATCTTTCCTGGAAATTTATATGAAACACAAAGAGGTTACTCAGTTACAGGCAGCTTGGAGATTGTGGTGATAGACAGGATACATCAGAAACCCTATTTGGGCAAAGTTTCTGTGACCAAGCTGTATCCTGCTCCTCCTGATGGGGGTTTACAGCATCCTGTTCCATGTACACATCACAGTGAGACACATTCTGATCATAGGAATGCTAAGATGCTGGGTGTGGAGCCAGGCCTCTGACAATCGAGCCATTGTGCAGGTCCACTCCCTGGTAAAACCAGCCTGTCTTGGGGCCAGCAGCCCTGGAGACTGGCCTCTGTCACTCAGTCCTCAAACAGGCAGACAGACCACCACAGAAAAACCCAGAAGGAACTCTTATCTTCACCTCCCAGAGATTCCTCTTTTCCAGAATGCCAAAGCCCTGCCAGGGGTGGATCCTACTCCAACCTCTGTCATGGAAGGTTGTATTGCCTTTGCCCTGCTGAATGAATCTTCAGATCCCACCCCAGACAAGATCTGCAGAATGGAGGCGTCCACAAACAATGAGGCAAACCTCAGGCTTAGCTCTCAGTCAAGCAGGACACACACCCTGGGGGATACACTGTTCCTTCTGTGCTGTTCAGCTAAGGTCTCACCTGGCGCACTTTCCCTCCCCATAGATCCACCCCCTCCAGTCCCCACTCTGGTTGGGTCATGGGACCCCTTAGCTCTCCTGAGTTTTGCCACCCGCATTAAGAATGCCTGCTAGTGTGGACCCTGTGAACACAGGGGCCATGTCTCCTTTTTTATTCCTGCTCTAGCTCTCATTACTGGCCAGGAAACTGTGTGGAACAAATGCAGTCCTGGGTGTCTAGTTACCCACGTGCTGCACTAACAGCTGGGCATTCTGAGGGGACTCTAAGAAGCCCACACTCTGGGGCAGCCAGCCAGTGCAGTCTGAGCTCTGGGTGCTGGGTGGGGATAACTCTCCTTTCAAGCTGGAGTAGAGAGGAGACTTCTTCACCGAGAGGTGGCCTTAAGAGGTCACCTTAGAAAAGAAGATGGACACATACCATGTAAGAATTGTAGGAAAAGGTTCTCCAGGCAGCACACATGTAAGGTAAGATGCATGTAAGGATGCTAACCTGATGCCATGGGAGTTTTATTCAGACCTGGAACCATACATGGAGTGAATTAAGGACCAGTGTGTTGGCCTACCACACCAAGTGCCCCAGGTTTAATTCTCTAGCACCTCCTAAACTGGTGCACAGGACCTGACATCTCAGCAGGAGGGTCAAAAGCTTTGTGGTCATACCAGCCTCAGCTAGCTCCTGGGTCACTTGGACTACGTGAGACTCTGTCTTAAGTCCACCTAAAGGTAGGGAGCCACTTAGGAGCATAAAGGTAAGAAAGCTGGCTTGGAGCCCAGCCACACCATCTGGTAGCTCTGGTCCTGGCCCTTGTCCTCTTCCCTCAGCTCTGTGTGTTGTTCTTTGAGATGGGGACAACTGCAGTCCCTACTTACGGAGTGCCTGTGCTGTGTGAGGGAGGCAGGCATGGAAAGCACTGTCCTGATGCTCAGTGGATGAGCCCATCGCTGTGGAATGATCTTTTGTGTCAGCTACTCAACTGGGTTCAGAAGAGGAGCTCTGCACAATGCCCAGGTTTTCCAGGAAGCTTCCTGGGGCAGTGCTGTGTAGCCAGCCTCAGACACCCGCCCCTTGCTCTGGCCCCCAGTCCAGGGCTCCAGAGCATGGTAGGCAGTGAAGGAAGTGCAAAGGCCAACTCAGAAACTGGACTCTGAAATGGCTTCTGCAGATTCCCTGCCTCTGCTCTGCTATGCTTGCCATGACTCCTGGCACAGAGAATTTGGTGTGTAGACTTTGGGGGAATTTCAAGATGGTTCCCAAATAATGCAGCAAGAAAAAGTAACAGCAGTATCCTCGCCCCCCTGGCATAGGCACCCTGCTCCC